CATACGAATTTGAAACTTGAGTTTTATAGTTTTCTTTGTTTTCTCCTATTTGTCGTAGGGGTAGTAGAATTTTCCAGATATCTGGGTGGAGAGGTGTTGAGTCATTCCTATTACATGTATTTGCAGTTGATTCGATAAACAAAGCTTCTGTTATCAATCTCTCCCTGCCTACACCCTGTGACATTAGATTTTAAAACTGTCATCCTATCCCATCCTATTGTGTGGTTTTGTGTAATTGCATGTAGTGAGTGCTATAGCAGGACTATTCTCTAGATTTCTTATCTTATTCCAGTTAACCAACCTAGTTTTTGCTAGGTTTTCATGTTCGGGTAGTTTATCTAGTACCCTGCTGGAATTATTGTCAGGTGAAATACATAGGTCGAACTAGTAGGACAGGGGAAGTCAGACTAGCTGAGCATAAAATCTTAGTAGCAAAAGCTAGGTTGGTTAACTGGAATAAGATAAGAAATCTAGAGAATAGTCCTGCTATAGCACTCACTACATGCAATTACACAAAACCACACAATAGGATGGGATAGGATGACAGTTTTAAAATCTAATGTCACAGGGTGTAGGCAGGGAGAGATTGATAACAGAAGCTTTGTTTATCGAATCAACTGCAAATACGTGTAATAGGAATGACTCAACACCTCTCCACCCAGATATCTGGAAAATTCTACTACCCCTACGACAAATAGGAGAAGACAAAGAAAACTATAAAACTCAAGTTTCAAATTCGTATGATTACAATTGATATGATAATGAACAATAAATTTAGTTTGAAATGTCATCCAGTAAATAATAATACCGTTTCACTGTGTGATACATCTATTAAATAAACTAATATATAAGCGTTTATCATAATAGAAAAGATTTGTAACTCAGGTGGATGATTTGCAATTGATAGTGTTCTCTGAACTCGTTGGTTTAATTGCGGAGCTTTCATCGTCTTTCTGGACGACATCTTCAGCTCAGTATTTAGGATAAAGTGAAATGATTTAAATTTCTTCATGAGTCTCCCGGTAACCCTCTTTAGATATGTATTGACCGTTTTCTGTTGATTGGGATTTTAAACTTTCTGATCACCTGATTTACTTTTTATTAGTTGGTATATTTCATCTATATTAACGTGTTTATTAATTGCGTTTTCATTTGAGTACCAGGCTTCTAGGAATTCCCTGGCACATTTGGTGTTTCCTCTGTTTAAGATTTTGACATTATCCCAATCAAATTGATGTCCATAATCGTCTGTATGCATTGATACTAAAGAATTTATATCATGTCTTTTGACGGCTGATTTGTGTTCCTGGAATCTTATTCGAAGGGGACGCCCACTTTGGCCGATGTAATGTTTGTTACAGTTCATACAATTTATTTTGTAAATGGTGTTAATTTTATCTCCCTTTTCTATGGGATCTTTGGGTTTGCATAAGATGGAATTAAGCGATTCAGCTGGTTTGTGTGCTACATCTATATCAAACGGTTCCATTATTCTAGCCGTTATTTCAGAGATGTTGAGTATTTGATCTGTGTGCGTTGACTTTCTGTATACTTGTGTTTCCAAATTTCCTGTGCTGGTTCTCCTGATTAAGACATCTAAAAATGGGATTTTGTTATCTAATTCTTCTTCTTTTGTGAATTTGATGTCTTCAAATATGTTGTTTATTAATTTATGGGTATATTCTAAATCATTTCTCTTAATTATTACAAATGTATCATCAACGTAACGTACCCAGATTTTCGGTTTAATTATAGGTAGAGCTTTTAATTCTAATCTTTGCATAACGGCTTCAGCTATTAATCCTGATATGGGCTATCCCATTGATGTTCCCTTTATTTGCTCATATATTTGAGTATTAAATTGGAAGTATGTTGTAAGGCATAATTTTATGAGTTCTATCCAAGTTGAACATTGGGTTTTTATGCTTTCATCACTATAGAGTAATTGTTGCATAGTTTCAACCAGCTGAATCGCTTAATTCCATCTTATGCAAACCCAAAGATCCCATAGAAAAGGGAGATAAAATTAACACCATTTACAAAATAAATTGTATGAACTGTAACAAACATTACATCGGCCAAAGTGGGCGTCCCCTTCGAACAAGAATCCAGGAACACAAATCAGCCGTGAAAAGACATCATATAAATTCTTTAGTATCAATGCATACAGACGATTATGGACATCAATTTGATTGGGATAATGTCAAAATCTTAAACAGAGGAAACACCAAATGTGCCAGGGAATTCCTAGAAGCCTGCTACTCAAATGAAAACGCAATTAATAAACACGTTAATATAGATGAAATATACCAACTAATAAAAAGTAAATCAGGTGATCAGAAAGTTTAAAATCCCAATCAACAGAAAACGGTCAATACATATCTAAAGAGGGTTACCGGGAGACTCATGAAGAAATTTAAATCATTTCACTTTATCCTAAATACTGAGCTGAAGATGTCGTCCAGAAAGACGATGAAAGCTCCGCAATTAAACCAACGAGTTCAGAGAACACTATCAATTGCAAAGCGTTTATCATGCTGCAGAAAACTTTAATGCACATAAATTATTATAATAATTTACTGAGAATACCCCAGTATTTCATAACTTTTTAGGTCCAACTAATAACCCTCTGTTATGAAAATGGATCTAAAGGAAGACATGAATGCTCAGCACTTTCTTATATCACAATATAAACTGTTCACCAATTTCACATATTTCTTCACTTTTTATTGATATCAAGAAATTAATAATACCTGGAAAAAAAATATCAAAATGGTTGATATTTTATAGCCCCTCAACAGGCTACAACAACACCTTATTCAATGAACACTGATGACATGGTCTATACACTTAACCACATAAAAGTAAAAAAAAAAAACTGCTGTGTCTTCAGACACATAAATAAAACAGTCGACTCAAAAGAAATAAGACGGATAAAACACAGTTAATTCCTATAGTTCGTTCCACCATGAATTTGTAGTTGTCTGGGTGGCTCAGGTTAAAATAAAATGACCAGACAACGATTCATAAGTAGGTTTACGAAACCAGATCCATATTATCTAGATTTTTGTCTCTTCAGTTTTCTTAATGTGCATAATTAATGCAATAAGCCAGCAACAGTGTATGTACAACTTTGTTTCGCAAAATATTCAAATCACCCAAAAAGTTATATTTTCTCAGGAGATATATAAATTTTTAGTGATTTAGAAGTGTAAATTGTACTTATAGTGTCATCAAGGTATTCCTCAGATTGGAGAAACATCGAAGGAGGTGTTAAACTCTGGAATTGAATATGTATACCATTCGTTTACCATGTCCATTCAGTGAAGCCTAAATAAATAAACGCTATCTGTCAAAATATGGAAGTTCTGTTCTAAAATGGTTTTTCAAAAATTCGAAAATAATTAAATTGACTCCGAAAATATTATTCCATTCACAAAATACTCAGAGCATTTAATGCTTTCTCAGCAGGCTTCATTCAGGTTTGGTAATCGAAGAGAGTTCAAAAGAAGATCTGGACCTGTAGCCTGATTTTCGCATTCATTCGCGAGGCAAGGGGCGTGAACCCAAATATTTCCACGGATTGCATTCAAACATTTAATAATAAACTCTAAGTGTAAATGAATGGCTCCGGGTTGGGTCACTGAATTGTGGAGTTGGTTAGACAGGAAACATAAATCAGGCAATTTCTAAGCTCACCTAAGAACACTATATATCTCGGCTACGAAGAGGAAAACACAGGTCAGTCAGTAGCCTGTTTCTCGAGCATGTGGTAAATTTGGATCCCATTTGACTCCTCTTTTAAATTTACCCCAAAATTAAGGGAAAATGGCGCAAGAAGTATTAGGTTGTGACAATTTTGCTCGGTGAAGGTACTGGCAATTCACCAATCTAAGGCCTAATTCTGAAAGCAGAAAAGGTTTGTTCTGGCGCTCGTTCTAACGTAGTTTTAAACGTCTTCCTTCTTATTGCGTTTTACTTTCATTGAAACAGTCGCTATTAATACCCCTGGATATTCTTTTTCACCTTTCGTTTTCCTCACATCCCAAGTGGACACAAAGCCAAATTAATTGTCGTCTAAAACTAATTAGCCAATTGTCAAAATCTCTGCCTGTTCATTCCTTTGTCTTTTCAACTATTATATTATACTATTATTCTCCTGTTTCTGCAAACCACCTCTGGATAACGGTGAAGAATCTTTTGCCTTCTTTATTATTTTACGTTGAGTTAATGCAGAAGAGACTGAGCGGCTCCTATAGAGATGACTTCGTCAATGACGATATTTTCCTCTGAATCATCTTCTAGTTTTATCACTTCTGTAGGCAGTGCTATGACAGGCCTTTGCACTTAATAGCCAAAAATACAACTAGACAGAACAACATTGGTTTCTAAATGATGTCTATTCGATTTATATTCCATGTAACACATTCTTCGGCAAAATTATGTTTTAGATATACAAAAAATTGTTCGCTAAAACAGGCAAAGCAGTTGTATTGAAGTCATTAATCAAACAAAATAATTCTACTAATTTCAGAGGGATTTTTCACTTTCCCCATCTTATTTTATTTTGTTGATAATACAAATATAATTTCCAAATGTACTATATCTCATATTGACTTTTTTCAAATATCAATTCAAGTTTTACTCATGTATATAAATGGAGCAAGAAAGTTGTGTGAGTTCCTGGATATAATTAGGAGCAATAATTTGTGCTCGAAACGTCATCAGTAAATATTACTGTGTAACACACACTCTGTGATTTTCTCAAAACCAGATTTTATCCATAAGGGAATTCCTACTTCTGTATAACTTTGTTTGACAGGATAAATCCAAAGGAGAAAACAACATGATTCAAATAACATAACCCACTGGGATAGTCAGTAAAACTACTACTGATTATGGTGAATTAGCAGATAATTCGATAGTTTGACTGGATAACTATAACTTTAACTGGATATCCATTACTAACTGTCTGCTTGTAAACTTTGCCTTTTAAACAGACATTCCTTGTCCTACAGTTGACTCTGTCTCGATCATCTCCGATAAATGTAATGGACAGCTGACATGTTCCGTCAGTCCAATATTGTACTCGAATCTATATATCAAACACAATCCAATGAAGCAGCATTGCTGAATCAAATTTCATGTGCTAAGTCATACTTATACTTAAAATACACATGTGGTAAGTTCAAATAATCAATTTTAAACCAAGTGATTTGATTTTGGTGATATATAATCTAAAGTCCATCTATTCTAATAAACACTGCCGTCAGATGATCGCTTAGCTCATCCATTTTCCTGTAGAGGTGGTGACTAGTCAAGAAAGCATCCTTAAATCACCTACTGAAATTCACAATGATGTCTACTTTTTGACGGTAACGAGAATAAATTTTCCCATAGGGTAACTCTGAAAGTTTACAGCTGACCCGTTTTAGAGTGTCAAATCACAACTCAGGAATATTTCTGAAAAGAGGTATAGTTTACACAAAAAGTTGGCCGCAAAGGATGCAGAGGGATTACACCACAGCGCTTAATGAACAGAAATACTTTTCTTGACTGTGAAGTAAACACAACTTTTTTCAGGGGTGAGAAACTTAAAATTACCTTTCATGAACTATTTCGCAGACACTTCATGGTATTTGGAGCATCAGTGCGTTAGATGTGAAGATAGTGATGCTTTCTGCATGAGAAAGCTGGAATGGAATCGAAGATTAGTTTTCCACATATAAATTAAGTTTAGTTGAATTCCTATATGATGATGACCTGTAATTCCTCCAGGTCTTCCCCAATAAAGAAAAACTGAAAACATTTCCATGATCTAAATGGTGGAGTTATAATGGCCAATCTTCCAGGCAATTGCTGTGAGTAATTTGATTTTTAAAAAAGCCTAACATGTAATAGCCTTCTAGAAAGTTATTATTAAACATGTGATTATAATGCTTAGTTCAAACAATATGTACACCACATGGGGTATATTTGTTACCAGCAGAAAGGTTGACAGTTTAAATAAGAAAATCATTTTATTCGTAACACAGAAAAGATGAAATCAGTTAGTAGAACTATAGATAAATGCAGAATGCCAATCACAGTTATTTATCGAAATTACAAGTATCCAGTATATAATTGCCTGAGTTTTAGGAGAATATGTCAGGCAAACAGCCAAATGTCTAAACGGATATAAAGTTTACTTCGTGTAATATATAGTTAAGTTACAATTTTTCACTTAGTTAATAAATACCTCCCCTCCGATTTGTTTCACTTCTAGTGCATAATGTCCTGCTAGAAATACCTCGTCCAATTGCAAATTCAAAGAAATCAGAAAAGCATCGAGAAAAATATGGTCACAAGTCAAAAAAGCGGCTGAATAGGCCGGGAACGAATATCAGTAATAACCTGAAGCTGAATAACGTAGATGTTGCTTTTTTCAATGATGACCTTGGTACTTATTCCGGTCAAACTGATGGTTCGAATATACAAACAAATCCTCTAGACCATACATTAAAAAGTGAGTTAAAGGTGTCATAATGTTGTTGAGTGATATAAACGGTTTCAGCGTCTACTCCGAGTAATTAATGTGATATAGTAACTATGCATAAAAGAATCAGTAATGTTAACATTGTTGACATCAATGTGTGAATAATTAGCGATGCCGTTTAGTAAAAACTCGTAATTTGAGTATTTAATACAAATCTATGTAAGCATATAGAATCTTAGTACGTTTTGCGCTCACATAACATAAATTTATGTAAACGATTTTTAACTCATGAAACTATGTACCACTGGTCGATTAAGATGAGTAGTTGTATAACACTCATGTCAACCAGTTGTACTTCCCAACCAGATCTAAGTGATCTAGACACCGGACAGCTGTTTTGCAGTTTGAGGCCTATCTGGTCACAGATGTACCCTGTCGGACTCAGCTCCGAGATCCAAATCAGGTCAGACAACTCGATTTGGCTAACAAGCACTATTGGTTGAAATGACTGGTGATTTGAATATTCATGCCAGTCAATCAGAAGCATATAGTTTTATTCATTTACTCTTTTTTCTTAATAACCATTTATGATATCTAGCAGACCACATGTTTTGGTTTTCAGAGGAAACTGTGGTTAACTCTCACCTCGAACTGCGTAATTTGCGAATTCAGATTCTGACTTACAACGATCCTTCCTTAACAACATATTTATGACAACACCGTTAAGTATAATGGATACTTTGTGTTAGATATGATCGATCTATTTCTTCAAGATAAAAGAAAATTAAATCCTCCATGCAATCAAACAAAATCCCTACAACAAACCAATACTTAAAAAGAAAATTAGTTCTGATGAATGCTGAGGATCTCGAAAGCTAAGCGCAGAATTCCCACGAAATGTGCCCTCCTAAAATCCGATACCAAAAACACCCACACCTAGGTATGTAAATAATACCAAACAAGTCAGCCCAGTAACTACGTTGCATTAATGTTCAGCGGTTTCCTACCGATGAGCTGAAAACCAGACAACCATATTCGTCATCACTTGATAAACAAACAGAGCATTAGGCATGTTTTATGAAGTTTGTTAACTGACTTCACCGGAGTGTTTCCTGTGCTTCAAACTTAGTGGCTCAACTGATGGTTTTAAGGAAAGAGTGCTTCGATATGATGGAGAAGATTTGTAGCTCCGGTTGATGATTTTGTTGTGGTTGTGTTCTCTGAGCTGGACAGTTTATTCGCGAAGCTTCCATTGCCCTACTAGGCGACATCTTCAGTGCATACTTCAATTTGAATCATTTCAAAAAACAGATTTGTTTTTAAGTACGAATACTCATATCCATAAGCATTGTTTAAATCAAGTTTTTTTAAATAAAAAGGTAAATTATTCAATTTTTATCGCTTCCAACATTTTAGAAAACACCTTTCACTAACAGTATATGAATAATTTACTTCCCTTGAGCTAACAGTCGTTTATTAAAATAAATATAAACATATGAAGATCAAACAATTAGGGAGACAAGCATTCTCACGTCATTATTGACACTGTGTGATTTGTTAAGAGACACTTTCTATGTATTGAATAAACTGTAACATATGGCTCGGTAACTGAAGCTTGAGTGTCATTCGACTAGGGTTTCTGTTTAAAAAGAGATCATTCACATTTTATTTTCATTTTTGATTTTATATTACAGCTTGATTCCACACCGTATTTTTGGTACAAGTATGGAATTTTCAGCACGGATATCGGTAGCCCAAATTTTGCAGGCCGACCATTGATATCAGGTGTGCGTCGGCAGGAGGTCGAACCTCGGGTCATGTGCATGGTCGGCGAGAGTCCTAACCACTGTGCCACCGACTATTAGTAAAATTATAACTTTAAATGAAAAGACGAAATACAACAAAACACGACTTATTAAATTTCGCAGATTCAGTAAATTTCCATTGAACTCTTCCGTTGAATTTTTCACATACTCGACTTTTCATTCCAACGCAAAGGCAGATTTAAACAAAAGAATATAGTACTATAAAACGGAAACACAAGATCTTAGTAGAATAAACAAATATTTGAGGACATTGAAGAAGGGATGTAGTTAGTATTGAAAAGCAAAGTATATAAAATTGAGTGACTTCGGTGAGAAGATCATTATAAACTGAATAGGTAGGCTGGCGAGAGTTTAGAATAACGAAACTGCAGAATTTTTAAGTGGCTAACAATCGAAATAAATTAATATGAAATAAGTCAGTAAGTGAAGTAGGGAGTGTGTATGGTAAGCTAAGCAAAATAATATAGGTGATGAAAAAGAATAAGAAAGTAAGCTAAAAGAGTAAAAGTCGAGCAGTAAAATCACAGGGCGATTTCATGCTTCCAGAAGAATCATAGTGAAATATCACACTGAATCATGCAAATTAATAACTTCGGCGTGATTGCAGTTGACGATGAAATCATGTATAAGTGAATCGCCCACAAAACTGCAAATACAGTGAGCATGTTGAACATTTTGAGCGTACGACATGAACTCGTTTCGTCCCCTTATGCTCATTGTTCTTACACTTCATAAAATGATATTAGTGTATGCTCAAAAGAAGTTTCTTCAACCTTCATTTGTCTCTTCAGCTGATTGGATTTATACATAAATCAACCATTAAACTTTCTCAACACTTTAATGTCTTACGTCCGCTTCATATATCTATCAAAATTCGTTATCACTTGCTTCACCTTCCGTACTACGTATCATTACCAGCATAGAGTAAATTTATTTGAAAATTTCTTACAGTGTAATACGGTAATATTCACTGATGACATTTGGAGCACAATTTATTGCTCATAATCATATCAAGGAACTCTCACAACTTCATCTATATATATATATATATAAATTTCAACAGAAATGTGCGAAACAGATTATAGGAACTCTAAGTACATTCAGAAATTAGATGAGTGTTTTCAGTAAAGTAAAACAAATAGAACGTCAGAATGTGATAACTTAAACTGAAATAAAATAAAAGCAAAACTGAATATTATTTCCTATCCTGTGATTTGATTAGTTGTAATGCTTTCTCATATCCCTGGTATTGGCACTGAGTCATTTCTATTGCGCACGTTAGGTGTAAATTCGACGAACAAATATGTTGTAGCATGATGTACTATCCAAGCTCTTTTCTTATATGCAACTTTTCATTTTGTAAGGATTTTGTCTCTTCTGATTACTAAAATACAAGTTGTTATGCTGACATAAATACCATAAAATTCTAAAATACTAAGGTGTTATTTTAGTTTTGAAAATAAAGTCCATTTCTCCATTACTTTTTGCACTAAATCAGGTTCATCTGCCACAGTCAACGATGACATAATTAACGCACTTAACGAGTTATCAGTTTCTCCGAAAACAAAATCAGCCCACTTTTACCTTTCTGCTTTACTTCCTGCAATGCTTTGTATTGTTGTCAGTTGTATATTTGTAGTTGCCATTCTGTGTCACAGAAGGCAACTTTTCAAGAGGAAACTGAAGTCTAACAATATATGTCGAACGATGCACAGTCCAGTTTATTGTAATGGACACATTTCCTGTAACATGACGGTTGATAATAAACATGAAAACGATTATCAGTCGAATATGCAAATGAAACTTTCTCAATCAAATCATCCTATCAAAAAGTGCATACCTAAATGGACAGACGAAAGAAATTTCATTTCAAATCTACAACAGACAGACTGTTCAATCAGTCAGTTCCCTCACTACTGTCCTGGATGTAATCATGAACAGAAAGAAACATCTGAAATTTTTCATTATCAGAATATTTCATATGGTGATGACATTAATAATGATACAAACCCTTCAGTTAAAGCTAGTCCCAATTCAAGCAGCAGAATGCCTAGTACAGAAAATTCATTTTCACCGAATTGTACTGATACCATTAGTAAAATAGAAACTGTTTGGACACCATCAACTTCTTGTTTCACCCATGGACTATTAAATACCTCATTGAAGCATTATAATCATTGTAACTCCCCTTATTTTAATCATTCTAATAATTTAATATACGCAAACTACAACACATGTTTAAATAACTCGAACAGTAAACAAAACACACCACAAATATGTATACACAGATCAGGGGAACAAGTTAATGGAATAATATCTCAACAGCTTTCTCCAAACAGACGACCAGATACTGATGCAAAAACTCATTATGATGAAAACAGCCTTGTGCAGAATTTACATGATAAGTTACATGACCGTAATACCCCTGAACAAGAAACAACAGCTGGTTTGCACCGGAAATTTCCAAATGTGTTTCATGAGAGCGAAAGAGAGTCTTTATGTCACTCAGGGGGACAAATTAACTGTAAAACCAAATACCGATTGGCACCACCATTGTTTAGTTCCGGAGATGACTTATTACCAGGCTACATGATGAATACAAAATCTCCACTTCATCAAAAGTGCAATGCAATACCTGTAGTTCGATATCCATACGATTCAGACGATGAAACAAATGACGATGATTCAGATTCTGATGTAAATCTGGATAATTTTAACCACTCAGACAATCTTGGCAACAAACCTGATATATGCTTGACTGCGAGCAAAGCTACTTCAGACAAAAAGCACTTAGTGTCAACATCACCAATGGTGAATATGCTAAGTCCCATGTCTCATATATCTCGAACCATGTCAGACCATCGAGTGCAAAATCCAGTTAGTCCTTCACTTATGAGAAGTATAACATCGCAGGGGAATCATAAATCCACCAGTGTATCTGAAAACAAATTGGAACCATTTTCTAGAAACAGGAGTACAGGACGACAAGTAAATCTTTCAAGTGACAAAAAGAATTCTGAAGTTAATTTGTGTTCTTCCCCTTCTATTAATACCAAAAACCGATGTTATATTTATGATTGTAATAATTTATCAGTCGATGATAACTTTTCTAGGAGTATGTGCGGTTCTGTTCAGCAGTAAATTATTGACACGCACATTAAATGTATATATTTACAGAGATAATATTGCTTGACATTATTTATACTTTCTAATAAAGGTATTCACAGTTTTAATTATTGTGATGTTCAGCTGCACCGTGAAATTTACGAACTATTTGCTGTAAACACATGTGGATACATACACATATACCTACGCACATATTCATCATCTATACATACGGTGCATACTTTCTTGTCATCAAAATTTATCAGTATCTCTAAGGGAAAGAAACAAAAGTTTGACAACCTAACAAAACTAGAAACTTCATTAAATCATCACGAAATGTGAAGAAAATATGCTAGGAAACACACTGACTTAAATCATATTACTTTCTAATACAAACAATAATTGGGGCTAATATCCATCTGACATTTCGTTCTACATCCAACAAACCATTAGTGATTCATCATTATTGTCACTCCTATCTTCATTACATAAATCAGTGAATGGGAGAAGACTAACAAAGTTATGGGTAGGTATGATTCCAGCCGACATTGTTCTTCGTTCCGTTTTCACCTTTCTTCAACTTCATTAGACTGATAGAATTTATTTTAGGTTTGTTTGTATAGTTACTGTCACTAGAAGCAACAATACTTTTTTTCAAGACAAATCTTTCGCTGACCTCTGTTTTACAATCATAGTTAGTAACAAAATAGAAACGTAAGTATATACGCTTCGGTATTTTAACTTAATTTCTTTTATGTTATTAATAGGTGTCTTTTGATATATGAACAGATACAAACTAATTTAATCCTTCATTTTGATATGTAAGCATATTTCAAATATACAAATATTCTGAGAAACAAGTATTGAATCTGTAAATATTGAAGACGTGATGATGGTGAGAGTTTGACTTGAATCCAAAGGTAATAGTGATGACATGATCATTGTGTCGAAGTCTCCTTTTTGTGGAAATAATACAGCTCATAACATAAATTAAAGTGATATGGTGAATTATGAATGCCTGCTCCTTTAATTTTCTTGAATGAAGATTAGTGTAGCTGAAATTGTGGATATTTGTGAGGAACAGAGAAGCATAATTACACCCAAACGGAAATAGTACTGAGCTTACATGTTCTTATTTGTGTAACACTAAAATTTTTCATACTATTCTACAAGAATATTTTGAGTAAACTGTTGTTTTCAGTGTCTTCTTCAGACTCTACAGTTATAAATCCATGTTGCAATACAATAGCCAGTAAAGAAAATCAAAATCAATTCAGAAACTGTTTCAGGGAACCAGTACAAGATGGAATAAAAGTCCGTTGGTTTTGATAATCATTTAAATGCATATAAAATGTACAGTTATTGAGAACCTGTGATAAAATGTGAATAAGCAGTTAAGTGACACGACTGTGTATTTATAACCAATAAAAGTATGATTTTAGTGGAGTAAATTATATTCCCTAGTGTGCGAGGAAATATGAGGGCTACTGAAATATAAACAAATAGATGGAGTGCAATGAAGTAATTTTGAGGGACCACAAGTAACAAACATAGTGACAATATATAGTGGTCAAATAATGAATGTAATCAAATAATTAAAACAGGATAAGATCAGTGTAACTCCAGAGGGTAACAAACGATAATGATGATATGAGGTGAATTAGGTCAAAAAGAGTAGGAAAGACATAATACGAGATGATTACGACCCTAACGAACTTAGGATAGGTCAAGGTTAACACACAGGATAAATGTGAATTTTCTGAACTCACATGATCCGTATAGCTTCAGCTATGGCTGCAAGGTGTAACTGCTTACCTTTAGGAAGAGAATTTGGCACTCGATAAACGACCTTAAATTTCTCTTTTATTTGATGTGGTATTCATTGTCTACAAAATGCGATAAAAGGACAGTGTTTATCGTTTTGGTTATTCCTTTTTCAAACCAAACTGGTATGTGTTCTCTAGTGCACAAAGGTGAATTCCTCTATATAATATAATATATAATTTGTATACACAGTGACGTAATTTGTTTTTAATGTTCCTTGTAAGTATATGTAAGATTGAATAAGTGACTTGTGATTCTGTGGTACTGAAAGTTTCTTCTGTAGATCTATTCATATCACCAAGTATACTTCCCTTGAACTTCAATCTTAAGTATCCCTTTTTATTTTATCGATTCTTTAAGACATACACTTCTTTACAAAAATTGGTAGGATATCCATTTTGTTACAGGGTAACTTTCTGAGTCTCGATTTCATCTTCAATGCAATCACAGGAACAAATGCGTGCTATCGAATGACTAAGAAAAGGCATTACATTCTGTTTGTACTGTGTAGGTAGAAAGTGGTGAGAATGGATATATTGTCTGTTCTGCATAGCCTTCCTGTAGATATTGCTCCTTATCATCCCATCCATTATTTTAGTAAGAAGAAGATGTAGAGAAAAATGCTACCCTGACATTCCTCTTCATTATTACTATTGTTTCCTTTAGTTCTTAGAGGAATATAGGGCTTCAGGTGCACGTCTCCGTTGCGTCCTGTTCCCTGCCAACGTTTTTACCTAACTCAACGTCTACCCATACGCTTCCATCTACTCTTTGGATGACCTCCTCCATGTTACCCTCGCACTGACGATCAACACGCCGCTTCCCATCAAGGTTCCAATCGAGCGATGGCCTGGCATGTGATGTTACTTGATGGTTTGTTTTCTCACAATATGGCCAATCCATCTCCATTTCTTCCTGCAAATTTGTTACACAGTCGGTTCCTGGTTGATTCATTGCTAGAGATACCTGTCACTGATCCCTTATCACCATCTGATCTTGAGTATTAAGCGAAGACAGATTTTGATGGGAGTTTGTAGTTTGTTCGAAGTACCCTTCATGACGCGCCAAGTCTGTGATGCGTATAGTAGTGCTGACTTCACACTGGAGTTGAAAATCCTAATTTTCATGCTGAATGCTGTTGATCTTCACACAGACTTGAGAGAAATGCAAGGTTGCCTTGCCTTCCCGAACCTCGCTTTGATACCTTCATCAGCTTCGTCCGCCTGTAGTTAAATAGATGTTTCCCAGGTAGGTGGGTAGGTAAAGGAGGTTGCTTCTATCACATTTCTCCCATCTAGGTTGATTGTTGTCTGCTGTTGTTGTATTACTGTTGACCAGGAATCTTCATCACCTCTGTTTTCTCTCAGTTCACCTGTAATGCTATCTTTGGTTCTTCTTGTGCCAACTTGCTGATTTTCATCTGCGAATCTTCATGTTTGTGGGGAATCAGACATATATCATCGGCGAAGTCCAGATACTCCAAGTGTTATTGTGGGTCCATTTTATGCCTGTCTCTTCGTTGCCCGCTGTCTGTTGCATTATCTAGTCTACCACAATCAGGAAAATCATTGGATATAGTAGGCAGCCAGCTTGTCTTACTCTCGTCTTCACTTCGAAGGATTCCGTGAGTTTCCCATTTGTGGATTACTTGGCATGCAGCATTGTCGTATAACTGTTGGATGAGATGTATAGTTGTCGATGGCACCCCGTAGTAGCGAAGTAGTTGCCAGATGACCTCTCGATCGAAGCTGCGCTATCGAAGGCCTTTTCAAAGTCGATGACGTTGAGACAGAGGGGTGACTACCATTCCAAGCTCTGTTTAATGATGATCCGTAGTGTGGCAATTTGATCAATACATGACTTGTTTCTCCTGAATCTAGCCTGTTCCAGTCGCAGTTTTTTATCCAGGGTGCATCTGATTCTCTCCAAGGTGATGCGGCTTAGTATTTTGCTTGAGACTGACAGGGGCATAATTCTTGCATTGACTTAAGTCTCCATGCTTTGTCAGTTTGAATAGGTATCCTTTCCTCCAATCCGCAGGTACCTTGCTCTCTTTTCACGTCTTCTACAGTAGTGGTGTCGTCAAGTCCGCCGATGTCTCTGGGTCCATTTTCAACGCCTCTGCTGGGATTCCGTCTGGATCTGCTGCTTTTCTAGATTTTAACATCCTTATTGCTCTGAGGATATCTGTTCTCGTCGGAGGTTTGATGCCCACTGTTAGTTCTGCTTCCGCTATCGGTATTGTTAAGCGCGTTGTAGGTGGCGGTCGATTTGGAAGTTTTTCAAAGTGTTCAGCCCAGTGTCTTCTTCACTCCACCTCTTTGGTGATTGGCTTTCCATTGTCATCCTTCACCTGCTTCATTTGTGTTGAAATTTTCCCCGATAAAAACCTGGTTGTTTGGTAGAGTGTTGCGAGATCTTCTTTGCCTGCAGCTTGTTCTGCTTCACTTGTCATTATTATATTATTATTATATCCTTAAATTCCTAGAGGAACATAGGGCTTCAGCTGTGCGTCTCCATTGCGTCCGGTTTTCTGCCAACTTTTTCATCCTGCTCCAAGTCTGCTCACATGCTTTCATCTCCTCTACACATGACCTCCTTCAAGTCACCCTTCCACTGACGACCAACTCGCCGCTTCCCTTTCCGGTTCCACTCAAGGGCAAACACATATGAGAATATGGATTAAACCCATAGCCATAATATTGCCTTTTGTCTTCACTGGCACTTTTATTTGCTCGTTTTCTCAATGTATTGTGGCTTGCATTCAACTCCTGCTTTTGTTCCATTGGATAGTCTTTTGTTTCATCAACCTTCTTTCTTCTATTGGACTCCATGTGTTTGTAGTGGACCACTGTTCGTCCTGTCTCTTATTTCTGACTAGAACTTTCATGCAGGTTTGATTCCACACCGCTTTCAGGTTGTTCCACTGCTTCTCAGCGTTGGTCTCTTCGCTAATGTTCATTTGTGTCTCCGCCTTTTTCCTTTTGATTGCAGTGAGGATGTCCTTTGTGGCCTGACCCTTCAGATTTTGAGTACTGAACTTGGCTTGCGGTCTATCTGCAGCTCCTGTTTCCCCGAACGTTTTTATTTTGACCTGGAGTTTTCCTCGCACGAAATAGTGTTCTGAACTGACGTCTGCTCCTCTTCCTACTTTTGTGTACAGTATATTTTTAGGCTGTTTAACTAAGTCTAGTTGTTTATTTACAACTCAC